TAAAACAAGAAGTACACAATTACAATAAGCTTTGTAGATTGTAGAGTTTTTCACGCTGCATTTTGTGATATATTTCCTTTTTTTTTAAATAAAAGAAATCAGGTGACAAAAACATGAAATAAGAAAAAATGAATTCATCTTGTACCAAAACCTATCGTTTCCACACGGTCGAAAATTGGTCTCTCAAAATATTTTTCATCTTGAAAACAAAAAGTGCAACTATAAAATAAGCAGTCGTATGTAAATTGTAGAACTTTTCACACTGCATCTTGTAGTATATTTTGTTTTTTAATACAATGTATTAAGTGATTGAAATATTTAATTTGCCTCACTCCTTAGTGAAGTTTTACACAAAATCAGTTCTTATCGAAATTTTCGGTGTGGATATGGGTGATCTTCTCACCCACACCCATACCCACACTCTTGCGGAGAGATGCAAAGAAAACAGTTTAGTGCAAAGCTCTCTGAATACAGTACCTTTGAGAGACCCCCCTACGAAGTTGTCTTTGTTGCGAAATCTAGAGAAGTTTTTATTCGCAAACTTTGTGATTAAGAAACTTAATGAGGTTTCGTGCATGTGTGCCATAGACTAGAGATGTATCAAAGCACAGGGAAACTTCACAGGGTTAGTTTGGCAGCTTTTTTCTCAATGTAGTTCAAGCCAGTTGTGCTAGAACTATCTTTCTAGAATGGAGTTCAGTATTGAGAAAATGGTGCAGCATAGAACTTATATAAACACTCGGAACTCCTTTTCTACATCGATTGGTTCTTTAAATTTTCTAGAACTCTTGATAGTTCAGTGGTGATCAAGTGAAAACTGAAAATGTAGGTGCGAGTTTGAATGTGGGTAGTTCTGGATGTGGATCTTGTTTATACGCACACTGTGACGAAAAATGATACAAGGGATGTTAGTGAGCTTGGCGATACACTTTATTCTATTCCCTCATATCATACAATCGTACCGTTTACATATCAAGCAGGGTGTGGGTGTGTGGGTGTGTGGATGTGTGGGTGTGGGTGGGTGTGGATGTGGCTCTGGCTTTTGACGATCAAAGGACCCATACTCACACCCACACTCACACCCACACCCACACCCTCCCACACCCACACCCACACCCTCCCACACCCACACCCACACCCACACCTACACCCACACCCACACCCACACACCCACACCCCACACCCACACTCATCTTCGGTATCTCGGTATACTTATTCATAAATCTCCCAATAGAATATACGAGGGTAATCATTATTATGTTCAATAAATGTGTTTCAAAAAGAGAATTCTTAGAAGCCGGTAAAGTAGCCAAAGTTATCTGTCTATCGAAGGACGGTATCTATCCAACTGAGAATCGTCTACGACGAATTTCATTATTACCTAACTTAACTAAACTTTTTGAGCGATGTTCCCTAGACTGAAAGGATAGGGTCTAAAAACGGGAATTGATCTGTCCGCGTGTATATCGTTTTTGTCGGTAACATGGCACAAATGACCATTTTTTTGGCACATACGACCATTTTTTTGGCACAAACGACCATTTCTTTGGTACAAATGACCATGTAACTATGGCACAAATGACCATGTAACTATGGCACAAATGACCATGTAACTATGGCACAAGTGACCATTTCTTTGGCACA